CGCCGACAACGACTCCTGCTCGAAATGCGCACGAACTGCTGTCGGTCTTCGTCCCCCTTCTTCCCGTACCTATTTCGATCGTGCCGAACATTGGGCTCACGCACACGTCCTGAGGATTGACGCCAGAAGCAATACCTGGACGCCCGTCGCTCGCCCGTCAGAGTAAGCCGAGGCCAAGACAGGGGCAACACCCGACGCGGCTCCCTGCCGCTGCACCTCCGCCCTCGACCTCTGGAGCCCGGGCCCAGAAGCTCGCGAGAACGTCCCCTCCCTCGCAGAAATCTGGCGCCGTGAGTTGGCTCTCAATGCGAGGCCGGGACGGGGGCAGAATCAGACCGGGACAGAAGGGGGCTGCCTGAGGTCCGGCGGCACCGCAGGACGCAGCGGACGCCCGAGCAACCCGTCAGAGGCAGGGGGCGGGGGGTGGACCCTGAGGTCCGAGACATCCCAGGAGCCTGGGAACAAAATATTGCACAAGTTGACAGAGAAAAACCAGCATAGACATAAATGTTTGGAGCTCCGCGCAGATTCCTTGGATCTGCGCTGAGCCCACTCCCTGGCGCGCGGAGCGCGCCAGCAGCAGCGGTGGAGTCGCCGCCAGGTGTGTCCAGTGCAGATCCCAGAAATCCGCGTGGACATCCGAAAAATGATGTCACAATTTCTAGGAGGTCCGCGCGCGCGGACTTCTTGGAGATGAGCGCTGGTCCACCCCGCCTCCAGTGCCACCCCCCGCGCACGCCAGGAGGATGAGAAAGAATATGAGGACACCCTGACCCGACCCAACCCCGACCCCGACCCGCGGCCTCTGTCAGAGGATCTGGCCGTCAATGTAGGCAAGAGGTAAAAGGATGATGATGATGATGATGATGATGATGATGATGATGATGATGATGATGATGAGGATGATGATGAGGATGATGATGAGGAGGAGGAGGAAGAGGAGGAGGAGGAGGAGAAGGAGGGGTGGGGAGGGGGGTCCAGCGCCGACCCAAGAAGCATAACGCGCCAGCCTGAAGGGCGAGCGGCCCGACGCCCGCGCTGACCCGCAGAATAAAAAACAAGACGAATCCGGGGCCCCAAAACCGTGGTGACGGACCGCGTGGTGACCTTGATATCCCCCAAGACCTCACCGCGCGGTCCGCCACCGCCGCACAGCTGTGGGACCTCGGAGGCCCCAATCGCTCGAGACATCCTCGGGGGAAGACCCGAACCCCAAACCGCGCGGTGACCCCGAATCCAAACTGGCTCACAACGAAGGCCAAATGGGACCGGGACAAATCGGCGACCTCTGGCGCCACGGCCGCTCCAGAGCGCCACGGAGCGCTCTGAAGGCGAACACTCTAGAACGGCGTATCCTCATCTCAGCCCCGGGCGTCGAAGGAGGGCGTTTCACTTCAGGCGCAGGCAGCGCGACTGCTTGCTTACCCTCCCCCGCCGTCTTTTCACTTGCTGCTGGGCCTTGCAAGCGTGCAAGTTGCTGTCGGCCTGCGTGAAGTCAAGGTTTCTTTGCGGGCCTCGCCAAGCCCCCCCTTTCCCGCCATGCAAATAAACCTGACAAAGTCTGATAAAGGCGGCGCCCCCCAGGTGTCCGTTGCTCTTACGTTGTTTGTCGGGCTCAAGCAGGTCTACTTGCATGAAGGCAGAGGGGGGGCGTGGCGAGGCCCGAAAGGAACTCGGCACTTCACGCAAAGTTAGAACCCACTTGTACGCCCTTTCGTGGGCCCGGCGCTGCTCGAAAAAACGCAGGGGGGGCACTGTCATGTGCAATTCAGCTTGCGAAAACCTGAAAATCTGAATGCACATGTTTTGCGCTGGCCTAGCCACTGTTTTGTTTCAAACTTGCCAGGATCTGAATTGACGGGCCTGTTTTCCACCACCACCACCACCATAAGTTGGAGGAGGAGGCGGAGGAGGCGGAGGAGAATGAGGAGGAGGAGGTGGAGGAGGAGGAGGAGGAGGAGGAGGAGGAGGAGGACCTCCTCCTCCTCCTCCTCCTCCTCCTCCTCCTCCAACTTCTGGTGCAAGTGGTGGTGGGAAACAATTGTTTTTTTGGTCGGCGGGGCGAGAGCGAACCTCTTCCGGTAAAAGCTTGGCGGGCTACGCACAGCTCAAATTGGGGAGACAGGGCAAAGGCGGGCGGGGCCTCAGGCGTCCGGAGAAGGCGGGGCCCGGGGTGCAGGCGGTGCCGAGGAGCTTGCGCAGGAAAAGGTACGCCGTGGACAAGAGCCGGAGGCGCAGATCCGGAGGGTGAGCGATGCGGCGTTGCCGTCAACGGCACTCCGTGAACACCAACCTCAAGCGCTGCATAGGGGGACGTGGCACGTGACCAGGTCGACGTCCAAGGGGGAGAGAACCACATGGTGGTGGGAAACAGGCCCATCATGAATGGCAATGAACCTATGCGCCCCAGCCTTCTTGGAAGGCCGCCCCCTCGCGCCGTGCCCGCGCGCGTCGACCGGCCTCGGGCCCCGGGGGGCCCGCGGGGCGATGCGGCCCGCGACGTGCCGCAGAGGCGGGTTGGGGCCTGCAGGCCTCCGGTCGCGATCTTCGGCGACGCTGCAGCTTCTCTTCGCGACGGCGGCTCTCCGGCCACAAGGAACCTTCCACAGCAGACCCACCGCGACGACGAAGGACTTCTCATCGCGACGACGAAGGACTTCTCTTCAGACCCGACCACAAGGACTTCTCTTCGCGACGACGAAGGAACCTTCCACAGCAGACCCAGCCCTGGGAACCCAGGGCGCGCATGGATGCCCTGGAGCGGCGCGCTTTCCACTGCAGAGCCAGCAAAAGCCAAGAGAACCAGGGCCCCCGGGAGGCAAGCAGGGCGTCTCTTGGCACGGGCCGCCACGGGAGGTCTCCTCGGCTGCGCGCACGGGGTGCTCCTTAGGTAAGGCTTGGCGCCCGGTGCGCGGCCGGCCGATCGCGACGTGCGGCGCGGTGCGGCAGCGGCGCGCGCGCCTGGGCCTGGCCCCCCGGCCCCCCCCCGAAGGCAGCGCACCGTGAGGAGCTGGAGCGTCGAGCAGGAGCGGCGGGCCTGAGTGCGGCTGAGCCTGCGCGCGAGGGGGGCCGAGAAGAAGTCTTGGTGAATCCGGGCGGATCTGGGCGTCAGCGAACTTGAGCGTCAGTCTGAATGTGGCTGGATCCCACCAGCCCTCTGGGCGTGGGTGGTCCCAGAGGGCTCGCTCTTCAAACCCCGCGACAAGCTCCCGTCGGCCTTTCCTTCGGGATCGGTGGCGGCTCGCGAAAAGTCAGCGCGCACAGTCGTGAGAGCAGAGGATGCAGATGGAGGCGAACAGGCTTGTGAGACGTGAGCTTAGCAACCTGCACGATGCTCGCCTCCTTTGCGCCCTTCGCAATGCCCCCAGTACAGACAACAATAATCCAAGAAACTCAGTCGGCCCAACGATCGGTAGGTCCCCGAGACCGTCGGTTTGATCCAGGACCCCATCCAACTTCTCAGGAAGCCCCGTCTCCAAGAGTACCTCTGGCGCCATGTTCCAGTCGCCCCCGAGGATAGCCCGATGCCCAGACACCTTGACAGCGGCCTCCGCGGTGCCCAAAACGCCGAGGTTACGACTAGTAAGACCTTCACTGTCAAATTGATGTGCGGACATAATCAGGAAGGGCGCGCCCCCTGGGAGGTCACAATCGCGTTGGCCAACCTGCCAGCATACAACGCGGAGCCCCACATAGGCTCATGCAGGCCCAGGGGGCCCTTCGCGAGGATCCCGGCACCGCCCGACGAACCTTCCCCTTGGCCAGCCACGGCAGAAGCAAAGATGGCCATCCAACCGTGCCGACTGCACCACGATGTCGCCTCCTTCAGAGCCGTGGCCTTGACAATGGTGCTCCTGCAGACAAATGGTGCGCGCCGTAGTAGTGCTGGGCCATTCCTTGAACGAGTTCCAGCAAGTGGCGCTGCAGCTCTCAATGACCAGACCGAAACCAACTGGACCGGGCGGCTCTGGGGGGGCCTGCAGAAAGTCGACGGAGCTAGCGGCTCCTATGAGACTCGGGACCCCTGGGTGACTCACAGCGCAGGCAGCGCTGAAATCGCATTGGGGAGGAAAGGGGGAGCTGTCTCCAGCGGGCCCCTCAGACGACGACCCCGAGCAGCTCGAAGTTGCCCCCAGTGTCGTCGTCGAATTCAACGAACAGGATTCCGACGTAGATCCAGCGCAGGGCGCGGACGAGAAGTAGCCCAAGATGCGGTAGACGAACGTGCTCTCTCAGCCTGGCGCTGCAGAGAACATTCGTCGTGAACCTGAGGGAACGCGGCGCCCTCCGAAGGTCCTGGTGCCTGCAGACCGCCAACGGCGGCGGTCGCCCCCCCTCCATTACTCCCTTCGGGAGGGCCTCTGGCAACAGCGACGGCTGCCAGGGGTGTGGGGGGGGGGGGGGGGGGGGCGCGGGGCCCCGCAGAGAAGCCGAAGCCCTCCGCGACGCCGTCGCCGCGCCAGACGACGCCGAAGCAGCCGTAATCGCTGCCGCCGAAGAGCAGGGAGATGATGAAGTAGAAGGTGCACTGCTACCCCATGGTCGAGACTGGAGCCCAGCCCTCACCACATCGCATTCGTTGAACCGAACGTGGCACCCCTTGGAAGCTCGACGCGAGCCTCCTCCACGCTTCAAGATACCTCTCACTGCGCTACCCCAACTCCGTGTCTGACTTTGTTCTCGTCCCAGCCGCCTCCTTAGCGGCCTCAGCAGCCGCCGCAACAGCCCTGGCCTCGCTCTTGAGTTTCTCGCAGTCAGACGCCGTCGCCGCTGCAGCCGACGCCGAGGACGCCGCGGTCTGGGAGGCAGGTTCTGCTGGTCCCTGAGGTGGCGCACCAGGATCCTCAGCTCCTCCCTGTCCAGCCTCGGTCGCCGTCTTCCGTTTCTTCTCCAGCCTCTGCTGCAGCGCCTGGTGCTCATCCTGCAGCGCCGCGCCCTTCTGGCGGACCTCGCCGAAGAAGGTGCCTGTCATCTGCTTGAGCGTCTGGAGCATCTGATTCTTACCAGTTCTGACCCTCGTCGTAAGTCTCCTGCCCCAGCTCCTCGAACTGCTGGCAACCGAAAAGTCCGTCATCGTCCAGCACGAGGTTGTCCAACTCACCGTCCATGAGCTTCGACAACGAGAGCTTGACGGGCTGAGCGGTACCAGTTGTGGCTGCCTGCTCGGCCGCGCACACGTCAGCAACAACCTCCGACACCGCCATCTTGTACTCGGCTTCGGCCGCATCCAGCTCCGCGACCAACTTTCGCCGGGTCTCCACCTGCTCGATCAAGTTACCAAGCACCGTGCGCTCAGCCTCCAGCTTGCCCTTGGCCTTGCGAACTCAGGCGGGGCCTTGGTGGCACGAAGCTGGGCCGTCTTCTTGCCCTCGGCAGGCTTGTCGACCTGGTCGAGTAGCAGCTCGTACTTCTTCGCAGTGGCCTCGTCTCCAGATTTCTCAGCCATCTTGACCATGGATTGCAACTCCTCCTTGGACACAGAAGCTGGGCCTGAGGGTTGGGACTTGGCTTTGATGGCCGCACGATGCTTCTCGGCCATCCCCTTGCCACCCTTGGACTCGGCGAAAGCCACCAAGGCCTGCATGGCGTCGACCCCGAGGTCAGGAAGCTGCTTGCCGCCAGCACCGCCAGCACCGCGGGGAGGACGATCGCGCGCCCAGGGTGGCTTCGATGAACCGCCGTCGCGCTCCGTGCCGCAGTGCTTGCACCAACGCCAGTTCTCCTGGTTCTTCGCACAGCGGCAGTCTGGCTGAGAGCAGCGCCAAAGCTCTCCGCCCTGTGAGCGACCACTGGATTGAGGGCGCTCGCGACGATGGCCTGGACGGAAGCCTCGAGCGCGGCCCGCCTCTGCCGCCGCCGCCAGCACCCATACTGGCGAGATGACCGTCGCCGTGGTGGTGACGCAGTAGCTGCCGAGCACGATGGGCTGCGAGGACCTGGGCGAGCGCTGGCCCGCCGCCGCCGCAGACGCCTATTGCCGGGCGGGCGACGGGCTGCCGCTCGCGGCGGGCTCGGCCCGTCGTGTCGCCCTCCGCCCCAGGGGCGGAAGGCCAGGGGATCAGACAAACGGGCCCCCTGTGGCCCGCGGGTCTGGGCCAAACCTCGTCTGAGCGTGAGTGATCTGAGCGTTGATGATGAGCGGATCTGAAGGCGGGTGGGTCTGCGTGTGAGTGTATCCGGGAATGTAAGAGTAGCCTCGTTCTGAACGAGGGGGGACAGGGTGAGGCGAGGAAACGGAGGCGCAGGCGCGACACCAATAACAAGAACCCCATACTTACGATATGCCGAGGATGGTGGGCCGGTCCCATGGAAGGGGCTGAGATCTCTGGGGGCCAGCGAATCGAGAAACGATCGAGTCGTCGGAAGTTTGGGAGGGAGAGCGAGAGATAGACAGGCAGGAACAACCCCTCGAAATCTCGCAGAAATCTGGAACAGCCCTGGAGTTTTATGACCCCAAAGCAGAGAGTATGGCCCTACATTGAACCCGTATCAGCCCTTTCCTTCTCCTCCTCCCCTTGCGCACCCTCCCTCTCCTTCCCCCCCTGTTCCTTCCGTTCTCCTCCTCCTCTTCTTTCTCCTCCTTCTCCTCCTCCCTCTCTTCCACACGTCCTCCTCATCCCTACACCCTCCTCCTCCTCTTCCTCCTCCTCTCCTCCCCCTGCTCTACTTTCCCTCGCCGCGGCTGGTGTTCGATATAAGCCCACGCTTCCCAAGCCAACAAGGCAGCAACAATTGTCACACGTCGAGCCAGGCGGGCGCTCGAGATCGGTCTCCTCACCCACGCTTGCAAACGAGACCCTCGCTGGCGGACATCCTCGTGGAAATTCCCCCCCTTGCTGCGTCCCCCCAGGTGCCGGAGATGTTGATGATGTGGCCGACTGGCGCGGGCACCTCCACCTCGAACGCGGGAAACGCGCTCAGGCCGAGCTGGGTGGTGCCAGGTCCTGAGCTGGGCCGTCGAAAGGCATCCGAATGCATCCCCTGACCTCCACAGCGCCGCGACGAGATCGCGACGTCCAGCCTCCTCGCAGTGTCGGCGCCTAGGGGGGCGCAGAGCTCCCGGGGCGACGTGAGGGGTATGGGCCCCCACTGAACAAAAGGAACCACTCCTAGCAATCGGGCGGAGGAAGAAAGGCGTGTGAGAGAGAGAGAGAGCGAGAGAAAGAAAGCGAAAGAGAAAGACAGAGATCCGCCGGCCCCCTTGTGGGGCCACCAGGCTGCGAGGAGCGGGATTCGCAGTTTCCTGTGCCGGTTGTAGCTTGTAGTTTCCAGTGTTACAGTTCTGCTTATTGCTGGTTACTGTAACTAGTTGATTGACCGCGCGAGGGGGGGGGGAGGCCCAAACCGGCTTTTTAGCACCCCCTGGGCGCGTTGTCTGAATTTCTGGGGGGGCTCGAAATCGACACCCCTCACGCAGATCCGCGGGGTCAGGGTCCAAAAACACATGGGATTTGCCACATTTCTGAAATTCGGTGCCACCCCTCACGCAGATCCGCGGGGTCAGGGTCCAAAAACACATGGGATTTGCCACATTTCTGAAATTCGGTGCCACCCCTCACGCAGATCCGCGGGGTCAGGGTCCAAAAACACAGGGATTTGCCACATTTCTGCAAAGGGTCATGGGATTTGCCACATTTCTGAAATTCGGTGCCACCCCTCACGCAGATCCGCGGGGTCAGGGTCCAAAAACACAGGGGATTTGCCACATTTCTGAAATTCGGCGCCACCCCTCACGCAGATCCGCGGGGTCAGGGTCCAAAAACACATGGGATTTGCCACATTTCTGAAATTCGGTGCCAACCTTCACGCACATCCATCGCAAGGCGTGGTAACCCAAACTGCGAGAACTCACTCGGCCCTTTAGTCGCAAGGTGTGATAACCAAGCCCGTAAACCATACACGTCTTACCAATCGCCAGGTGTGGTAACCCCTCTTGTGATCAGTTGGTTTTGCTGATTGCGAATCGGCTTCGCATGAAGTTTAAATACTGCTTCACGACAGCGCCAAGACCTCATGACTTAGCTCTTCCATGGCCCATTCTCCGAGAGAGGGGGCCGGCGGCAGGGGGCGAAGCCCTTACGGATATACAGAACGTGCATGTCAGAAGAATGGCGATGAAGAAACACCCTAAACATGCAAAGTAGAGTTGAACATGTGGAATGATGCCGTGCACAACACACTTTCACATTGTCGACCGTCTTTGTTCTGACGCAGTGCAGGTGGTCAGCACTCGCCATTCATCATCGGCAACAGTTGGCTTGCTGGGAACTGTGACGCGATTGCAAGGGTCGCCTCGAATCGGCCAGCATGTTACACGTGATTTGAACAACATGGCGAAACCATGTGACACGTATGCAACCGACTCTGTTGCGATTCCATGAGGAAAAACCGATGTCCGAGAGGCCACTGTACCGCTCCAGCGCGGCCGCAAGTGGGCAAGGAGCCCCCCCAAGAGCGCCCCCGAGAGGCCACGCTGCATCGAACACCTGCAGAACACCAGTGCTCGCCAGCGTGTGCCCTAGCCAATCGACTATTGCAGAGTGGATGCGTGAGCTGCATGGTGCAAGTTATGTGGTGCAAGCTGGTCCTCAATTCCACTGCTCGCGCAATCATGCCACCCTCTCACCCGCACCTTGTTCTGCACAGAACACGCGGACGCGATCGAGGTGACTACTTGGTACAGACTGGCGCACCTCTACGGCTGCGCTAGCGCACAAGCTTGCGCGCCAAGCGGCCAGCTGATCTGGCACAGCCGACGCGGACGCAATGGCGCTTAGCGATGGGAACTTCCCATCGAGTCTGGAAGGCAGCGCTAACGCGCGGGTAATTCACTGCGGGGCAGTGTCTCGGGCGCGCGCGATGACAACGATAATGATAGTTGCCAACGGCGACAACGATAATGCAAGTAGTGAGTGTGAGATCAATGACGCCGAAAACGACGGCCAATGATGGTACCGATGCTGGTGACGACGATGACGATGATAATGTCCATGCTTCGGTGATGAAAACGATTGGCTGATGATGGCGGCAAAGGCGGCGACTGACGATTACGATCACGACAGTGATGCGGCGGCGCCGATGAAGTAATAATGTCAAAGTACGCACGCGCGCGAAATTAAACGGCACCAGGCGGACGTGCTGCTAACACCAATTGGGGCTGGTAGTCGTTATTTTAGTTGATTCGTTTTTTTTATAGAAAATGGAAATTCTATCTAAAGAAGCTGGACCAACAAATGAGTTTGTACATCTTCAGGCGCGCGCGCCTGGCGACGCGTGCGTGTGGTCCGCGTTGTGGGATGTGATACGATTTCAGGCGCTGGGCTCATGCTGGGTCAACGCGGATGCACCGCGTTGCGAGATGAGACTGTGGCTGCTGGGCGAAATTGCTATATTCAGATGGGTTTCCTGCGACTGCAGCAAGTGTGGAAAACAAGCGTTTGATGTTTGTATGTTGAGATGCTTCCAGATCGAATATGTTTGATATGATTTCGCCATGCGAGCGCGCGTGTGAACTTTGCGTCATTTGTTGCAGAGATGTTGTGAAGCATCATAGTTTGAGATAAATGGGTGTGCGCGCACAATATATGGTCCAGGGTTTTGCCCCCCCCCCCCCCCCCCCCCATGCTGATGCCATTGGGCGTGGCGTGGTGCTGCGCTGCGGTTCCCCCCCCCCCTGTGGATGTGGTGTGGTGCTGTGGTGGTTCAGAGGTGGGCGTGGCGTGGTGTTGCACTGCGGTGCCCCCCTCCACCCCCCTGTGGATGTGGTGTGGTGCTGTGGTGGTTCAGAGGTCGTCGTCGTCGTCGTCGTCGTCGTCGTCGTCGTCGTCGTCGTCGTCGTCCTCGTCGTCCTCGTCGTCCTCGTCGTCGTCGTCGTCTCATCGTCGTCGTCGTCATCGTCGTCGTCGTCGTCATCGTCGTCGTCGCCGTCGTCATCGTCGTCATCGTCGTCGTCGCCGCCGCCGCCGGCGTCGTCGCCGCCGCAGCCGTCGTTGTCGTCGTCGTCGTCGTCGTCGTCGTCGCCGTCGTCGCCGTCGTCGCCGTCGTCGCAGCCGTCGTCGTCGTCGTCGTCGTCGTCGTCGTCGTCGTCGTCGTCGTCGTCGTCGTCTCTGGGACCATACCATCTGGGGGGGGGGCCCGTGGGCCCTCGACCCTGGATCATATATTTGACAAGGGTGAGGGGTGGTGCCGATACCGCTTTGGCTGGGATTGTATCTACTCATCTGAGATATGAAATGGGCGATGAGGCAGGCTCATATGCGAATTGTACAATCCCACATTGCACATATAACACTGGGGAGAGGGGGAGGGAGGGCGTCTATCTTTGTTTGAGGGAAGAATATACGTGGTGCAGGCTATGTGAAGTAGGCTATGTGATGCAAGTTCTATGGTGCACACTATGTGGTGAGGTGTCAATGAGGCGGCACCATCTGGGCACTTGCCCGACACCACGACATACCAAACCAGCGCACGCGGCGGCCTCGAGGCGGCACCAACCGGGCAGAATCTCGACACACCTAACCCACGCATGAGGCGGCAACGAGGCGGCACCAACCGGGCACTGGCCGAAAACTTCGACACACCAAACCCAGCGCACGAGATGGGCGACGATCAAACACGTGTCTTACGCGAGATGGCATAGCGAGCTTATCTGGCTGCTTACGCGGGCTGCCATGGCGGCACGTTACTTTGGAGACCAGGACGCTTGCGCGCGACCTTACGCAAGCAGCTTACGCGCCAATGACGGCGAAGACGACCTGTTCTTCTGGCGCCGCTCAGGTGGCAACGAGGCAGCACCAACCAAGCACCGATCGCACACCCACCCAACGCACGAGGCGGCAACGAGGCGGCACCAACCAAGCACCAGCCGTAACCCCGACACACCCACCCAGCGCACGAGGCGGCAACGAAGCGGCACCAACCAAGCACCAGCCGTAACCCCGACACACCCACCCAGCGCACGAGGCGGCAACGAAGCGGCAACGAGGCGGCACCAACTGAGCACCAGCCGAACCCCCAACACACCCATCCAGTTCCTCAGTAAGCCAAACAAGAACCCCGAATTGCAATTACTTGATTGGCAATGATGTTGAGCGTCTCGTCTGTTCGTTTCCCATGGGCTTCTGGGGCCACAAGATGGTTCCAATTTGGCTCAAGAGAGCTGCAAGAGGACCACAAGGCAGCCCCAAAAGCGTGCCAAGAGCCCCACGGGTCACTTGTGCGAGCTCGACAGAGGCGGATCTAATTGTGGAGCCCCCCTTCGCCACCACACAAATTCATTGAAAACACATGAGGTGTTCAAAGATTTGGGCGTCACGGGGGCCTCGTTGGGAGGCGGTTGAGCCACTATAGCTCCAACATTGCTCCAGATACTTCGGGATGATCCAAGATGGTCCAGGATGGGTCGATGGTGCTTCCAATATGCTGCCCAAGAGGCCCCAACAGCGCTCGAAGGCGGCTCCGAGCTGCAACGGAGCCCCCCCGAGGAAGCCCCACAATGCGCCAAGACACGTTCAAAACCTCAGGACAGCACATGATGATCCCATCCTCGCAGCTTCGCTTCCAAAGGGCTTCTTGGGCCGCAGAGTGACCTCAAGCCTGCCCGAGAGAGCCCCAGGAGGGGCCCCACATGGCCTCAGTACTGCCACAGGAGCGTCAAAAAAGCGCCCCAAGAAGCGACTCTGGGTGCTCCAGGAGGGCGGGGCTGCACTCCCTTCTTTCAGCGATGGCCTCTCGGATGGCCCGACATTGCCCTCAAGAGGGCCCCACGAGAGCCCCAACGGCATCCGAAACTGCCAGCCCCAAGAGGGCCCCAGAATGGCCCAAACAAGCCTGTTTTCTCTGTCAACGCTCCCTGCCGACTGCCGTGCCCAGGGCGGGCCGGCGCAGAGATTGCCAACTGCACAATGAAAAGTCGGCTTTTACCGCTCTTACCGAGCCCGGCGGCCTGTCGAGGCCACCATCCAAACCCGAGCAGCAAGGGTCTCCAGCTGCGCCAAGGCAAGGCAAAGGAGACTCGTCGCTCAGGGGCGGTGTCTGTAACACCCCTTCCAGCAACGAGAGCTCGAAGAGAGCTTCTTACTAGACGCCGGCAATGAGGCCGTCGTGGGAAAATCGGGGAGAGATCAGAGGAAGCCAGGGGCATTCCAATGCACCGGCCATGCATGGTCGTCGTGCGCTGGTCGGATTTAAAAATTTACGCAGCTGCTGGACTTCCCCGCTCGCACGGCGGGCCGCCCCACGCACGACCAGAAACGCATCGGCGGGGATGAACGATCGCAAACGCTCCCGGCGGATGCGCGCACGCCATCAGCCGCACCAGCAGGTGGATGGAGAGAAGGGAGCCGAAACAACGAAGCGAGCCCACAAGATGAGGGGAGCAGAAGGTCGCCAGGCCATGGGACGCACAGAGATGTTGGGGGGATGCCGCAGGCAGGCGTCGAAAGGCTGCAGCAGCGGGCTCCAGCGCGGCGGGCGCTGGCTCGGCGCTGTGCGCCGCCTGGCCGCTCGGCGGCCAGCGCGCACGCTCGGAGGTCGACGGATGGAGGACGGGGGGCACCTCGTCCCAGGGCGAAAGACCTGCAGGACGGGAGACGAGAGCGCGCGGCAGAGGACGGCCACGCCCCCTCGTCTTGCGTGGCGCGCGGCGCCTCTTGAAAGGGGAGCTCCTGCGCCCCCGCGCTCTGGCGCTCTGGCGCTCTGGCGCTCTGGCGCCCTGCGCTCTTGCGCGCCGCTCTGCACCTCAGAGGCCCTCGCCCTTGCGTGGGGTGGGGGGGCTGAGCTCCAGGTCCACTCCACCGGTGCGCCCGCCCGCATCCAGCGCGTCGTGCTCCTCGACGCCGCTCGGGAGCATGAGCGCGCCGGCGCCCGCCACGGTCATTGCCGCCGCGCCAGCGGCCAGCATGGCGGGAAGCGCCAGCGTGGGCGCCACGAAGCTCTCCATCGCAGCGAGAGTCAGGTGGGTGAACTGCTGGCCGAGCACGAGGCCGCAGTTCAAGAGGGCCATCTGCAACGCGGTGCTGACAGGGAGCCCCCGCTCCTCGGCAGCCTTGTTGCTGGCGGCGATGAGGCCCCAGGGGATGCCCTGTGAGCCCACGCAGGGCAATACCGACAGCGCCATGCAAGCCGTCGCGAAGTTGGCGTTGTGCTTCACGAAGAACGCGGCCGCGTAGCTAACGCCCGCCCCGACGAAGATGCAGGCGGCGTAGACGCCCTTGGGGGGCAGCGAGGTCCTGTGGAGGGCGACGACGAGGAGCAGGGACATGAGCAACTTCAGCAGCGAGCCGCACTGCCCCCCGTACGCGAACGCCTCCTGGCCCTAGGCGTACGAGCGATGGGCCGCGGAGCCTGGGGGCGCGAGGGGATCACCCGCGAACACGCAGAGGCCGAACCACTGCACGGAGTACGAGAGCCACACCGTTGCGCCGACGAACACCAGGCAATGCACGCCGGCCAGCCGCCTCAACAGAAGGGAGCTCCCCCGCACGGCCTCCAGCACGTCCGACACGGGGCTGGACTTCCTGGCGGCGCCGTCGACCGCCAGCGGCTTCTCCACGGCCACACAGAGCATGACGGCGACCGCCGCCGTGAGAATGCAGCAAACCACGACCATGATCTCGAGCATGTGCTTCGAGAGGCCGCCGTCGCTGCCGTAGACCTTCATGGTGGAGAAGCCGACCAGGAAGCCGACCGCCTGGAAGCAGGCGACCAGCACCTGCACCTGCACCTGCTGGCCGCTCGACGCGAGGTCCGCCACCAGCACCCTCATGGGCGTCGACAGCGCGTTGAGCGCGATGTCGATGAGCCACAGCATGCAGGCAGCAAAGCCCGCGGCCGCGCTGGCGGGCAGCAGCGCCGCGCTGGAGGCGAAGAGGAGCCCGCACACCCACAGGGCACCGAGCGCGGCCACGATGATGGGCCTCCTTCGCCCGTAGGCGGAGGTCGACGAGTCGGACAGCGCGCCGATCAGCGGGCAGGTGAAGAAGCCGCAGATCGGGCCCGCCATGTTGTTGAGGGTGGCCGAGGCGGGGCTCATCCCAAGCGCCACCAGGTAAGGCGCGCTGCACGGCATGATGACCGACCACACGACCGTAATCGACATGCACGGAAGTGCGACGAGGCTCAACCGCCACAAAGGCCACTCCTTCTGCGCTCCCGACTTGCCGGCGTCCCCTGATGGCTCCGTGTTGAGGAGGGCGATCGCTTCCCCCCGTCCCTTCGGCCTCAAACGTGCCGGCGTGCTGATGAGGGCGAGTGCGTCCCCCTGCCCCTTCGTCTGCGCCATCGCACCGACCGCCGATATCTGAATCGGACCCCCCTGAACAGCGGCGGCGTGCCCGCTCGCGCGCGTCCGGGCGTGGGCGAAGGTTGGGATGCGGCGGCTCGACGTCCAGGAGGCCTGGAGCCAAAAAGGCTACGGATGGTGGAGGTACGCGAAGTGTCAAACATACGGCGGGCGCTCTGCAGGCCCTGCGCCGTGCAAAGAGCCCTGGAGGCCAATTCCGTTAACGGCTTACCAACTGATGAGCCAGCCAATCTTGAAGTGCGGGCGGGCTCGCGCATACCCACAAGCTCGGCGAGAACGGCTCCCAGCACGGCCCAACAAGGCCTCAAGGTGGTTCCAAGATGGCCCAGATACCTTCCAGATGGCCTCCAAGATGGTCCCGAGATGGCTCACCATGGCTGCCAAGATACCTCCAAGAGGCGCCGATACGGCTGCAAGATTGCTCTCAATGGTCACGGAGCTTGCCCAGGAAATCCACGAGAGGCCCAAAGCACGCAAGAGCCGGAAGCAAACCACCGACAACTGCTCTAATATCGCCCACCCGCACGCGCGGCCGCATCGCTGGGGAACCCACAAGACACCGCTAATGCTACGGCTGCTTCGCGTCGCGATGTCGCGGGCGTTGGCTTCTGACCCCGCGTGGATCGTTCAACCTTGAACGATCGCGGCTCTCCCATACCGCAGATCGCTCGACATCGATCGATTCTGGGCCAATGGAGGCGTTTGACCTTCAACTCCCGCGCCGGGGTCGCCGCCGCGTCAACGCGGCGCAAGCCTACCGTACTCCCTGGACCTCTCAGGGGAAGCGTTCTGACAGGAATCTCGAGGCGACTCGAGCCGTGGAGACGAGCGCCTCTCAGGAGGCCCCCCCAAAACGAGAACGAGGCCAGGGCAGCGGTGCTGGCTCCTTTCCCTGCTTTGACGAGGGGCAACGATAGGGGAGGACTGGCGTAGGGTGGGATGCATCGACCTGGAATCGGCGATACGTCGCCGACAGATCGGCGATGGGCCCCCGATTGTGAATCCGCACCTTCCTGGGCAGGCTGGGGCTGTCGGGCCCCTATTGGCGATCAATGGGCGATTGGGGGTCGAGGCATCCCCCCCGAATTACGCCTATCCCCCCCTGTCCTTGCCCCCGATTGAGGACTGCCGCACGCCCGCGCGGGCGCCCGGTCCCGGCGGCAAGGCAACCCGCGGACCCCGAGAGCATCCACGAGTGCAGGCGTCGCCGCCGTCGTTCGGCGCCGCCCGTCGGTTGCCGTCCGTCGCCCGTCTGCCGTCGGCTGTCGTGCGCCGTCCGTCCGTCGGCATCGAATCGGCAACTCGGGTCGAGCCGAAACGCGAGTCGGACCGGGCATGGCATCGGTACGGAACCGAAATCGGGTCGGATCGGCTGCGCCAAGATGCACAACCTCGCCGTTCAAACATCGGGCCGCATCGCTTCGTCGGAACGTCGGAATCGAATCGGACCGGGCCGGCCAGAATCGACCTCGAGTCGAGCCGGAGGGATCAAAATCAGCCTCGGTCGTGTGTTGTCCGTCGTCCGACGTGCGTCGTCCGTCGTCCTGGCGTCACGGCCACCCGCGCGGCCACGAGCCGCGCGCCGTGCAGGTCGGGCTGCTGCCACCGCAGCAGCGTCCAGCCTGGGCGGGGGCCGGAGCGAGCGGCGGCGGGGCACCCGCTGCACGCGGCGAGGGCGTTGATCGGCGTCGGGGGGGCGAAGTCGCCCCTCCTCCTCCTCCTCCTCCTCCTCCTCCTCCTCCTCCTCCTCCTCCTCCTCCTCCTCCTGCCTCTCCCTGCCGCCACCTGCCTCCTCCTCCTCCTCCTCTCTCGCCCTCCTGCGCCACTTGCCTCCTCCTCCTCCTCCTTATCCTCCTCCTCCTCCTGCTCCTCCTCGCCCCCCCCTCCTCCTCTCCCTCCTCCTCCTCCTCCTCCTCCTCCTCCTCCTCCTCCTCCCCCTCCTCCTCCTCCTTCTCCTCCCTGCGGAAAGAAACCCACGGGCGCCAGAGTTGGCCCCCCTCCCCCTTCACCAAGGGGACCCGTGGGGACGCAGGGGGGCTTCGAATTGGACATCGCTAATTAAGCCTAGGCCGGGCGAGGAAAAATCCAACACAACACTAGAGGAGGAGGAGGAGGAGGAGGAGGAGGAGGGGGAGGCCGCGCAGGAGGCGCACTGGCAAGGGCGGCCCGGCAGGGGACGGGGAGGGGCGAGGAAGGGAACGGGGGACGGGGGGCGGCGGTGCCCGTCGGCGTGGTGGTGGTTGTGGTCAAGCTGGTGGTGGTCGTGGTGGTCGTGCTGGTGGTAATCGTCGTGGTGGTCGTGATGGTGGTGGTCGTGGTGGCTGGGAGGTGTGGTCGGTTTGCTGGTGGTGCTGGAGGTCGTGGTGGTCGTGCTGGTGGTGACTTTGGTAGTCAGTCAGCTGGGGGCTGTGGTGGCCGTACGGGCGGCGGTGGTCCTGAGAGTCGGACGGGCTGGTAGTGGTCGTGCTGGTGGTTGGTCCCGTGGTGGTGATAGTGGCCAGCGCCTACCTCCCCAGGGCGCTCAGGATCATCTCAGCACTCCCTTGTTGTAGGGTGCGTGAGATGTCCCGCCAGATCCGGCTCAAGAGCTCGGACCGGTCGGCATCCTCAAGAGAGGCGCCGTAGCTCCGAACGAAGCTTACTGCCTCGTCAGACGGCCGCCCCCCGGTCTCGAAGACCATCGGGACGAGGTCTAGGCCCTCCCGGGGGGGGTACCGGCCCCGTTTGTCGTCGACCATCTGGGCTGTTGCGAGTCCGTCTCGTTCGGCTCGGGCGTGCCTGCGTGGGGCGTAGGTGGAGTGTACGCAGGTCACCGCCCAGTCGACAAAGATGGGTCGACCGGTGCTGGGGTCGTGTGTCCGGATGTCCAACTTTGCTTCCTGAAGGACCCCGGTGTGGGGATGACGGCGATCCCACGCTGGCACGTGTTGTTCCGTCGGAGCAGCATGACCCGTAATTTCCTTATGCATGGATGCATGTCGGTCCCGGAGGCGGTCGTGCCGGGCGGTGCGGGATTGGCCCACCTCGCATGACTTGGCATGAAACCCGTGTGGGTCGAGGGGCTCTCCGCACAGCGTGCCGTCTTGTCGTCGGTGTTGGCAGCGCGAACCAGCGGGGCAGACTGGTGCTCGCAGCCGGCACATGAGGTTCACCTCGAAGTGGTCGTCTGGCTGCAGAGGGTCTCCTGGTTGTCGAGGTTGGAGAAACGCCCCGGCGCCTACGCCGCCGCACTCCCGGAGTGCCAGCCGGTCGTTTTCAGGGAGCTCCCGCAGCAGTCGTTCTCGGTTTTTCCCGGAGGCTGCCTTGCTCCACACGCCCTGGAGCTTAGCGTGGGGTTCCTGAAGACTGCGGGCCCAGTCGATGGGCTGTCCAGCTGTCGCCCCCGAGGCTTGTAGCGCTTGCTCGGCTTGGGCGAGCGCTTGGAGGGTCCGCGGGCACCGCGTCCGGAACCCCTCCAGCGTGCTCACGTCCAGGCACTTTGCCACGTCGTGGAGGCAGAGCGCCCAGCTCGCGGCGTAGGCTGCTGGTGCGGTCTGGGTAGCGGAAGGAATGGCGCACCCTCCGTCTGCGAGGCGCATGGTGGCCTGCAGCCTCTGAAGCTCGTCCAAGTGGCTCCCGCGCAGGAGGTGTTCTAGGGCCGAAAACACCACCGCGTCGAGCTGCTCCACCCAGTTGCTCTGCAGATTGGCTCGCAGGTGGTGGGCGACGCATCCTTGGGCGAAGGTCCGCAGCAAGGTGAGGTAGGCCTCGGCTGAGAGCCCAGCCTCTCGGAGGTCCCGGAGTCTCTGGGTGAAGGCCTGCGCCTGTTGCACTGCCGCCGCGCCGTCTTCCCCTGCGTGAACCAGAACCCGGTTCTCCTGTTGGTCGAGCCAAGGCGCCGTGTTTCCCAGGCACTTTAGGTGGTCGACTCTGTGTGCACGGACAGCGTCTGGGAGGCCACTTGTTCGGTCCGCTGACCATGCCTGGGTTTTGCTCTCGTTGACCGTCAGGCCGTGGTTGGTGAGGGCGCCGACAACGAGTTGTTTCGCTCCTGCTGCGTGCTCCGGGGGCGCAAACACCATGATGTCGTCTAGGTAGGAGAACACGCGGCAGGCGGTGGAGAGGTGTTGGAGGCCCTGGGAGATCTCGTCCAAACAGTCCGCCACTGCAATGGCGAAGAACGCCGGTGAGAGCGGGCAGCCTTGGTCCACGCCTGTTGCGGCCGTCACCGGCCGAGCTTCGTTGGCGTCGTCCCAGTAGAGGTGCGTAGTGGCGGTCCCCAGCCAGGAGTGCGCGGCCCGAAGGAGGCCGGGCGCCCTGGCCCGGAGTCCGGAAAAGATTCGGGCCCGCGGGAGGCTGTTGTAGGCGTTGGAGCAGTCGAAAGCTAAGACCACGCCGCGCGGGTGTGCCTCGGAGAGGGCGGAGATGCACTTGTGCATGACTTCACACCCGGCTGACTTCCCCACCGCGTATTGATGCGGGCCGCAGGCCTGACGTATCTCCTCCTTGTACACTTCGCAGGCTGCCTTGGCCGCTAGTCGTCTCAGCACGCCCCCGCACGCGATCGGTCGCAGGCCGCCGTTCCGCTTCCGAAAAGCCACCAGCCGCGCTCCGAGGTTGGCCCGGGTGGCTTCTGCACTCAGGCAGCCGTGCAAGAAGAGAACCGTGACTTTGGCCACTGCGTCGAGCGCCGCGCTGTCGGCGAGGAGGGTCCGCCAGTGCTCGAATCTGCCCCCGTTCGGCCCTGCCCCCGACCGCCGCGGGCTTTTGGCCAGGCTCGTTTTCACGGCAGCAGCCAGGTCGTCCATGGTTTCTTGGTCTGGCAGGTTCGGGGCCGCGCCTGGGTCAGCTAGCGCGCCCGCGGGGGGGAAAAAGCTTTGGAGTCCCTCATGGACCCCGGCGCCCGTGGCCAGCGTTGCGGGGCTGCTCGTGCGAACCATGGCCTTGCTGATCAGGTGCTCACCCACGAGCTTCTCCACGGCTTTCGCGTCAGCGGCTGGCGCGGGCGGCCGACTCGCTCGCCGCGGCGCTCCGCCCCCCGCCGCGAGCGCCTCTCTAGAGAGCCCGGCCCAGTCTCCCGCCTCTGCCATGCGGATTCGGCGGGTGAGTATGCTGGACCACCCCCCGCTGTTTCCTGCCTTCCGGCCGCCGCGTGTCTTCGCCGGCTTGAACAGGACCGTCCTGTCAAAGAACGTGAACAGCTTTTCCGCCCTCCGTTGGGCCGTGGCGTCCCCGCGCTCCAGGGCTCGAAGAATCGCCGTCGCCGCCTGCCCCCGAAGCTGGGCCAAGGCCGCCGCCACGTCGTGGGGGACGTCGCTCACTGTCGCCACGCAGTCCTTCAAGTCGTCGTACGACACCTGGTCCCACCAGGCCAGGTTCCGAGGCTGCTGGCGTTCGCCCTCTTCCTCCTCCTCTGGCGGCCTCCCCGGGTCGCCGTCGTCCGGGCCAAGGAGTGGAACTCCCAGCGCTGCCGCCTGGGCCTGTTGCCCGGGGTCCATTCTCGCCCTCTTTGCCCGGCGGACGTCCGCCAAGTACTCTGCTCTGGAGGGCCTTCCGGGCCGGTCGCACCAGTCCCGCGTCTCGTCCTGTTGTTCGGGCGTCAGCGCCGCTGTGCCCTGCACCTGCCCGTAGGGCCCCAAGCCCCCTTCGATGCACCGCAGGTGGAAGAACTGAGGGTTAGCCAGCGCTGGGCTGAAAGCTCGGAGCTCGCCCTTCTCTATGGGGCCCCGGCACAGGCTCGCTCGGCAGAGGCAGCCCCGGCGGGAGCGCATGGTGTCCACCGCCCACGTCGTCACCAGGGCGTCCCGGCCTCGGGGCTGCGGGTGTGGGTCTGGCGGCGGCGGCGGGCCGCCCTGTTCTGGCGGCTGGCCTGGCGGCAGGTCGGCAGCCGGGAACGCTGGTGAAGTGAGCGCACGAGCTGTGAGCACGACGTGGCCGAGCGCCACCAATGGCGTCAGCGGGGTGTAAGCCCCCGGGCTCAGGAGCCACGTGGCGCCCAATGTGAGGGCCCGGCACAAGGGGCGGTGAACGTGGAAGTCGGCCCCCAAGGCCGCCGCGCAAGCGCACGCCACGGTGATCTGGCCAGGCCCGCCGTGCACCCAGGCCCCGTAGCTCAGGACTTCCAGTGGCGTGGCACTGATGCAAGCCGCCGCGATCACCAAGACAGGGTGCAGCGGCCTCGGGATGATCGGGGCCACGCAGTTCTGGGTTACCACCGCGACTGACACGCCTCCTGTGAGGAGCGGCCCCCAGGAAGCGATGAGCCCCAGCGCTGAGGGGGTATATGTGAGAGCCCAGTGGACGCCTTCCAACATCCGCTCGGCGCCGCCCGGGGCCTGTGGCCATGGAGCGTGCACGTCTGGCATGCAGCCTGGGCTTGATGTCGAGCCCCGCGCACCCGAGGCCTGTGCTGCGCAGGACCGCACGTGGAAGAGGTAGAACAACTCCGCCTGCGAGACTCGGTGCCCGTCAGGAGCGGCGGGGCACTCCACTGCGCTGACCCTGGTCTGGTGCTGCGGGTCGCTGCGAAGCCTCGTGCTCGCCGGCGTGCTGGGCGTGGAGGTGCTGCTGGTGCCGCTCGTGCTCGTCACCCTCGTGGCGCTGCTCTCGGTCGTACTGCTGGCCGACCCGTTGGACGTAGTGGCGCTGCTGGTCTCGGTCGTACTCGTCACCCTCGTAGTCCTGTTTTCGGGCGTACTGCTCGCCGACGTGCTGGGCGTAGTGGTGCTGCTGGTCTCGGTCGTGCTCGTCGCCCTCGTGGCGCTGCTCTCGGTCGCACTGCTCGCCGACGTGCTGGGCGTAATGGTGCTGCTGGTAGGGGTCGTGCTCGTCACAGTCGTGGTGCTGCTCTCGGCCGTACCGCTCGCCGTCGTGCTGGGCGTAGTGGTAGTGCTAGTGCCGGTCGTGCTCGTCATCCTCGCGGTGCTGCTCTCGGTCGTACTGCTCGCCGACGTGCTGGGCGTAGCGGTGTTGCTGGTCTCGGTCGTGCTCGTCACGCTCGTGGTGCTGCTTTTGGTCGTACTGCTCGCCGACGCGCTGGGCGTGGCGGTGCTGCTGGTACCATTTGCGCTCGTCCCGACAGTGATGCTGCTGGCGGTGGTTCTGCTCACCGACGTGCTGGGCGTAGTGATGCTGCTGGTCTCGGTCGTGCTCGTCACACTCGTGGAGATGCTCTCAAGCGTACTGCTCGCCGACGTGCTGGGCGTAGTGTTGCTGCTGGTCTCGGTCGTACTCGTCACCCTCGTGGTGCTGCTCTCGGTCGTACTGCTCGCCGACGTGCTGGGCGTAGTGGTGCTGCTGGTCTCGGTTGTGCTCGCCCCCCCCGTGGTGCTGCTTGCGGTCGTGCTGCTCGCCGACGTGTTTGGCGTGGTTGCGCTGGTCTCGGGCGTGCTCGTCACAGTCGTGGTGCTGCTTGTGGTCGTACTGTTCGCCGACGCGCTGGGTGTGGTGGTCCTGCTGGTATCGGTCGCGCTCGTCCCGAACGTGATGCTGCTGTCGGTGGTTCTGCTCGCCGACGTGCTGGGCGCAGTGATGCTGCTGATCTCGGTCATGCTCGTCACACTCGTGGAGATGTTCTCGGTCGTACTGTTCGCCAACGTGCTAAGCGTAGTTGCGCTGCTAGTCTCGGTCGTGCTCGTCACACTCGCTTTGCTGCTCTCGGTCGTACTGCTCGCCGACGTGCTGGGCGTAGTGGTCCTGCTGGTAGGGGTCGTGCTCGTCACAGTCGCGGTGCTGCTCTCGGTCGTACTGCTCGCCGTCGCGCTGGGTGTGGTGTTGCTGCTGGTGCGGGTCGTGCTCGTCACACTCGTGGTGCTGCCCTCGGTCGTACTGCTCGCCGACGTGCTGGGCGTAGTGGTAGTGCTGGTGCTGGTTGTTCGGGTCGGGCGAAAGGGGGGGATAGCAAAGGGGGGGTTTGAGAATCAGCTCACGTAGCTGATTTTCCCGGCGCCTCCCGGCGCCGGGGCGGCCATGTATCGAGGAATGGGCCCCTCGGTGAGGCCGAAACCAGCTGCATGCAGCAAATTTCGTCGCCCGGCCCGAGTTGTGCTTGTCCCACTCGTGGTACCGCTTGCGGTCGTACTGTTCGCCGACTTTCCGCGCGTGGTAGTGCTGCTGGTGCCGGTCGTGCTCGTCCCACTCGCGGCGCTGCTTTCGGTTGCACTGCTGGCCGACGTGCTGGTCGGAGTGGTGCTGCTGGTCTCGGTCGTGCTCGTCACACTCGCGGTGCTGCCCTCGGTCGTACTCCTCGCCGACGCGCTGGGTGTGGCAGCGCTGCTGGTCTCGGTCGTGCTCGTCGCACTCGTGGTGTTGCTCTCGGTCGTACTGCTCGCAGACGCGCTGGGCGTAGTGGTGCTGCTGGCGCCGGTCGTGCTCGTCCCAATCGTGGTGCTGCTTTCGGATGTACTACTCGCCGATGCGCTGGGCGTAGTGGTGCTGCGGGTAGCGGTCGTGCTCGTCACACCCGCGTTGCTGCTCTCGGTCGTACTGCTCGCCGACATGCTGGGCGTAGTGATGCTGCTGGTCTCGGACGTGCTGATCATACTCACCGCATGTTTTTCCGCGAGGTTGCCGAGAACCTCCATCACGGCCAACCCCGCGTCGTCCGCGCAGGGGCGCTCCCCGCACGTGCTGCAAAGTCTGCCCGACTGCCGTTCGATGGTCCCGACGCTCTCGCCGGAGGGGCCTCGGTTCTGCTTGATCCCGCGCGGCTGGACGGCCATCGCCTTCTTGGAGGACGTCGAACTGTCCAACGTTGTGCTTTGGGTTATACTGCTCGCCAACGTGCTGGGCGTAGTGGTACTGCTGTTCTCGGTCGTGCTCGTCACAGTCGTGGTGCTGCTTTTGGTTGTACTGCTCGCCGACGCGCTGGGCGTGGCGGTGCTGCTGGTATCGGTCGTGCTCGTCCCGAACGTGATGCTGCTGTCGGTGGTTCTGCTGGCCGGCGTGCTGGGCGCAGTGGTGCTGCTGGTCTCGGTCGTGCTCGTCACACTCGTGGAGATGCTCTCGGTCGTACTGCTCGCCGACGTGCTAGGCGTAGTGGCACTGCTGGTATCGGTTGTGCGCGTCACACTCGCTTTGCTGCTATCGGTCGTGCTGCTCGCCGACGTGCTGGGCCTAGTGGTGCTGCTGGTAGGGGTCCGGTTCGTCACAGTCGTGGTGCTGCTCTCGCTCGTGTTGCTCGCCGACGTGCTTGACGTAGTGGTGCTGCTGGTTTCGGTCGTGCTCGTCACACTCGTGGTGCTGCACTCGGTCATACTGCTCGCCGACGCGCTGGGCGTAGTGGTACTGCTGGTGCCGGTTGTGCTCGTCCCACTCGTGGTACCGCTTTCGGTCGTACTGCTCGCCGACTTGCTGTGCTTGGTAGTGTTGCTGGTGTCCGTCGTGCTCGTCCCACTCCCGGCGCTGCTTTCGGTCGGACTGCTCGCCGACGTGCTGGGCGTAGTGGTGCTGCCGGTCTCGGTCGTGCGCGTCACGCTCGCAGTGCTGCTCTCGGTGGTACTACTCCCCGACGAGCTGGGTGTGGCAGTGCTGCTGGTACCGGTCGCGCTCGTCACACTCGTGGGGCTGCTTTTGGTCGTACTGCTCGCCGACGTGCTGGGCGTAGTGGTGCTGCTGGTGCCGGTCGTGCTCGTCCGCATCGTGGTGCTGCTATCGGTCGTACTGGTCGCGGACGTGCTGGGCGTAGTGGTGCTGCGGGTGGCTGGCGTGCTCGTCACATTTGTGGTGCTGCTCTCGGTCGTACTGCCTGCCGACGTGCTGGGCGTAGTGATGCTGCTGCTCTCGGTTGTACTGCTCGCCACCGTGCTGGGCGTAGTGGTGCTGCTGGTCTCGGTCGAGCTCGTCACACTCGTGGTGCTGCTGCTTTCGGTTATACTGCTCGCCGACGTGCTTGACGTAGTGGTGCTGCTGGTTTCGGTCGTGCTCGTCACACTCGTGGTGCTGCTCTCGTTCGTAGTGCTCGTAAAAGTGCCAGGCGTCGTGGCGCTACTGGTAGCGGTCGTGCTCGTCCCACTCGTGGTGCTGCTTTTGATCGTACTGCTTGCCGACGCGCTGGGCGTAGTGGAACGGCTGATACCGGTCGTGCTCGTCACCCTCGTGGTGCTGCTGGTCTCGATCGTGCACGTCACCCTCGTGGTGCTGCTCTCGGTCGTACTGCTCGCCAACGTGCTGGGCGTAGTGGTGCTGCTGGTCTCGGTCGAGCTCGTCGCACTCGTGGTGCTGCTGCTTTCGGTTATACTGCTCGCCGACGTGCTGGGCGTAGTGGCGCTGCTGGTATCGGTCGTGCTGGGCGTAGTGGTGCTGCTCTCGGTCGTACTGCTATCCGTCGTACTCGTCACACTTGTGGTGCTACTCTCGGTCATGCTGCTCGCAAAAGCGCTGGGCGTAGTGGTGCCGCTGGTGCTGGTCTTACTCGTCATACTCGTGGTGCTGCTGTCAGTCGTACTGCTCGTCGACGTGCTGGGCGATGCGGTGGCGCTGGTACCGGTCGTACTCGTCATTCTCGTGGTGCTGATTTCGGTTGTACTGCTGGCCGACGTGCTGGGCGTAGTGGTGCTGCTGGCACTGGTCGCACTCGCCATGCTCGCGTTGCCGCTATCGCTCGTACTGCTCACCGACGTGCCGGACGTAGTGGTGCCGCTGGTACTGGTCATTCTCGTCATACTCGTAGTGCTGCTCTCGTTCGCACTGCTCACCGACGTGCCGGACGTAGTGTTGCCGCTGATACTGGTCGCCCTTGTCATACTCGTGGTGCTGCTCTCGGTCGGACAGCTCGCCGACGTGCTGGGCGTAGTGGTGCCGCTGGTACAGGCCGCACTCGTCATACTCGTGGTGCTGCTTTCAGTCGTACTGCTCGCTGACGTGCTGAGCGTAGCGGTGCTTCTGGTACTGGTCGCACTCGCCATACTCGTGGTGCCGGTCTCGGTTGTGCTGCTCGCCGACATGCTGGCCGTAGTGGTGCTTCTGGTACTGGTCGTACTCGCCATACTCGCGTTGCTACTATCGCTCGTACTGCCCTCCGACGTGCTGGGCGTAGCGGTGCCGCTGATACTGGTCGCACTCGTCATACTCGTGGTGCTGCTATCGGTCGTACTGCGCGGCGTCGTGCTGAATGACATCATCGGGTAGGCCGTCGTGCTGGGGCAAGGCGTCGTGCAGGGCATCGGGCTGGGGTTGGGCGTCGTGTAAACGGTGGGCGTCAGGAAGGGCATCGGGCTGGTGGAGGGCGCCGGGCTGAGGTAGGGCATCGTGTAGGGCGTCGTGCTTGGGTAGGGCGTGTAGGGCGTCGTGCTTGGGTAGGGCGTCGTGTAGGGCGTCGTGCTGGTGTTGGGCGTCGGGTGGGTCGTCGGGGTGGAGTAGGGCGTAGGGGAGGGCGTCGTCCTGGGAGTGGGTGTCGGGTATGGCGTCGGGGTGGAGTAGGGCGTAGGGGAGTGCGTCGCGCTGGGACTGGACGTCGAGAAGGGGGTCGGACTGGGGGAGGGCGTCGTGTAGGGCGTCGTGCTTGGGAACGGCGTCGTGTAGGGCGTCGTGCTGGGGCTGGGCGTCGGGTCGGTCCTCGTGCTGAGGTAGGGCGTAGGGGAAGGCGTCCTGCTGCGGCTGGGCGTCGGGCGGGGCGTCGGGCTGGGGTAGGGCGTCGGGCTGGGGGAGGGCGTCGCGTAGGGCGTCGTGTTTGGGTAGGGCACCGCTCCTCCCTCCACTGTGATGCTGCTGGTTCCACTGTGAGTTGCCCGCGTAGGGCTGCCGAACCGCGCCGTGTTGCTCAGGGTCCTGGGCGTGCTGCTCTCTGCCATGCTGCCCGTGGTCCTGGTCGTGTGGCTCTGGTGCTGCTGGTCGTTGTCGCGGCGGCATCGCTGCTTGCAGTCGTGGCCCTCGTCGCGGTGCTGCTTGTCGCGGTCGCGGGGGTGCTGCTGGCCTCTGACGTAGTGGCGCTGCTGGTGGTGGCGTTGCTGGTCGCCGTCGTGGAGGGGCCGCTGCTGGCTGTTGTCGTGGTGCTGCTGGTCGCCGTCGTGATGGCGTTGTTGGTCGTCGTCGCGGTGCTGCTGGTCGCGGTCGTGGTGGTGCTGCTGGTCGTAGTCGTGGTGGCATTGTCGGCCGTGACTCTGCTGGACGCCGTCGTAGTGGTGCCGCTGCTCGCCGTTGTCGTGGTGCCGCCGGCCGCCGTCGTTGTGGACTTGCCGGGTTCCATCGTGGCGCTGCAGCTGGTAGTGGCGTTGCAGCTGCTGCTGCTGCTGCTGTTGCTGCTGCTGCTGCTGCTGCTGCTGCTGCTGCTGCTGTTGCTGCTGAGCGTAGTCGTGGCGCTGCTGGTCGCCGTCGCGGTGGCGCAGCTGCCTGCGGCCGTGGTGGCGCTGCTGGGAGTGACGCTGCGGGTCGCCCTCGTGCCGGTGTTCCTGCTGGTTGTAGCCGTTCTGGTCGTGGTCGTTGTGGTGCCGTTCGTTGTGCTTGGGCTGCTGTGCGTGGCGCTGCTGTTGGGAGTCGTGGCGCCTCTTGTGCTGGGCGTAGTCGTGGCGATGCTGGTCGCCGTCGCGGTTGCGTTGGTGCCTGCGGTCGTGGTGACCTTGCTGGCCGTGGCTCTGCTGGTCGCCGTCGTGGCGGCGTTGCTGTTGGCCGTCGTCGTGGCTCTGCTGGTCGCGGTCGCGGTGGCGTTGCTGCTGGTGCCGCTGTTGCTGGTGCTGCTCGTAATTGCGCTGCTGCTGGTCGTAGTCGTTTTGGTCACGGTAGTCTTGGTGCCATTCATTGCACCTGGGCTGCTGCGCGCGGCACCCCTGTTGGGGGTCGTGGCGCCCCTTGTGGCCGTCATTGTTGTTTCTTGGCTCGTCGTTGTTGTTGCTTGGCTCTTGTGGGTTTGCTGCACAAGCCAGGGCGCCGCCGGGACCCGCAGCGGATCCGCGCAGGCCCCAGCGGGGGACTGGTCCCAGGAGAGTCCTACCGTGGGAGTGGGGCTCTTCCCCTGGGGGGCTCGGGCTGCAGCTGGCACCAGCCCCCTCCCTCGGAAGGGGCTGGGGGGCTGGCGGCCAGACGGCTGGAATGGCCGTCTGGGGAGGCGGTGAGTCCTGCTGTCTGCTGTCGTCGTTTCCGCTGTCGCGTTGCCAGGACATGCTGATCCCCGTCGTGTTGCTCTCTGCTGTGCTGCGGGTCCCACTCGTGTATGTCGCCGTAGAGCTGATGCTTGTTCTGCTTTCCGTTGTGTTGCCTGCCTTGCGGCTCCGATGGGGAGGGGAGGGGGAGGAGGATAAGGAGGAGGATAAGGAGAAGGAGGAGCAGGAGGAGGAGAAGCGGGAGGAGGAAAAGGTGGAGGAGGAGGAAGAGGGGGAGGTGGAGGAGGATGAGGAGGAAGAGGATGTGACCGCGCTGCTTGTCCCAGGAGGTGCGCTCGAGGTCACGCTGCCGCTCGTCTGTGACGCACTGCTAGTCACCGAAGCGTTGGAAATCCCTGTGGTCGACGATGCTGTAATCGTGGGACTCGCCGTGGAGTTGGCCGTGGGCGTCGCACTGCCCGAGCTGGTACTCGCCGTCGCCGTCGTGCCTGCCTGCCGACTCCGATGGGAAGGGGAGGAGGAGGAGGAGGAGGAGGAGGAGGAGGAGGAGGAGGAGGAGGAGGAGGAGGAGGAGGAGTAGGACAGGGAGGAGGACGAGGGGGAGGGAGAAAAGGCGACAGGGAAGGAAGGGGACGGGGGCGAGAAAGAGGCGAAGGGGAAGGACCAGAAGGATGGGGATGGGGAGCAGGATGCAGAGGAGGACCAGGACATAATGCTGGGACCACTCGCGGATGTCGACGTCCAAGGGCTGCAGCTTTCTGTTGTGCTGCTCCGGGTCGTGCCGCTCTCTGCCGTGCTGCTGGGACCACTCGCGGCGTTGCTTTCGGCTGTACTGCTCGCCGACGTGCTGGGCGTAGTGGTGCTGCTGATCTCGGTCGTGCTCGTCACACTCGTGGTGCTGCTCTCGGTCGTACTACTCGCCGACGTGCTTGGTGTGGCAGTGCTGGTGGTACCGGTCGCGCTCGTCACACTCGCGGTGCTGCTCTCAGTCGTACTGCTCGCCCACGTGCTGGGCGCAGTGGTGCTGCTGGTGCCGCTCGTGCTCGTCACACTCGTGGTGCTGCTCTCGGTCGTACTGCTGACCGATCCGTTGGACTTAGTGGCGCTGCTGGTCTCGGTCGTGCACGTCAACCTCGTGGTGCTTCTTGCGGTCGTACTGTTCGCCGACGTGCTGGGCGCAGTGGTGCTGCTGGTCTCGGTCGTGTTCGTCGCCCTCGTGGCGCTGCTCTCGGCCGTGCCGCTCGCCGACGTGCTGGGCGTATTGGCGCTGCCGGTACCGGTCGTGCTCGTCATCCTCGCGGTGCTGCTGCTTTCGGTTATACTGCTCGCCGACGTGCTGGGCGTTGTGGTGCTACTGGTCTCGGTCGTGCTCGTCACGCTCGTGTCGCTGCTCTCGGTTGTACTGCCCGCCGACGCGCCGGGCGTGGCGGTGCTGCTGGTACCGGTTGTGCTCGTCCCGAACGTGATGCTGCTGGTGGTGGTTCTGCTCGCCGACGCGTTGGGCGTAATGATGCTGCTTGTCTCGGTCGTGCTCGTCACACTCGTGGAGGTGCTCTCAATCGTACTGCTCGCCGACGTGCCAGGCGTAGTGTTGCTGCTGGTCTCGGTCGTACTCGTCACCCTCGTGGTGCTGCTCTCGGTCGTACTGCTCGCCGACGTGCTGGGCGTAGTGGTATTGCTGCAGATCTCGGTTGTGCTCGTCACCCCCGTGGTGCTGCTTTCGGTCGTACTGCTCGCCGACGTGCTGGGCGTAGTGGTGCTGCTGTTCTCGGTCGTGCTCGTCACAGTCGTGGTGCTGCTTTTGGTCGTACTGCTCGCCGACGCGCTGGGCGTGGCGGTGCTGCTGGTCTCGGTCGTGCTCGACCCAATCGTGGAGCTGCTGCTTTCGGTTATACTGCTCGCCGACGTGCGTGACGTTGTGGTGCTGCTGGTCTCGGTCGTGCTCGTCAAACTCGTGGCGCTGCTCTCGGTTGTACTCCCCGTCGACGTGCTCGGCGTAGAGGCGTGGCTGGTCTCGGTCGTGCTCGTCACACTCGTTTTGCTGCTCTCGGTCGTACTGCTCGCCGAAGTGCTGGGCGTAGTGGTGCTGGTATCCGTCGTACTCGTCATGCTCGTGGTGCTGCTCTCGCTTGTATTACTCTCCGATGTGCTGGGCGCAGGGGTGCTGCTGGTGGCGTTCGTACTCGTGATTCTCGTGGTGCTGCTCTCGATCGTACTTTTCGCCGACGTGCTGGGCGTCAGGGTGCCGCTGGTACTGGTCGTACCCGTCTTACTCGTGGTGCTGCTTTCAGTCGTAGTAATCTCCAACGTGCTTGGCGTAATGATGCTGCTGGTTCTGGTCGTACTCGTCATACTCGTGGTGCTGCTCTCGGTCGGACCACCTGCCGACCTGATTGGCCTAGTGGTGCCGCTGGTACGGGTCTCACTCGTCACACTTGTGGTGCTGCTCTCGGTCCTGCTGCTCGCCAAAGCGCTGGGCGTAGTGGTGCCGCTGATGCTGGTATTACTCGTCATACTCGTGGTGCTGCTCTCGGTCGGACTGCTCGCCGACGTGCTGGGCGTAGTGGTGGCGCTGGTACCAGTCGTACTCGTCATACTCGTGATGCTGCTCTCGGTCGTACTGCTCGCCGACGTGCTGGGCGTAGTGGTGCTGGTATCCGTCGTACTCGTCAAACTCGTGGTGCTGCTCTCGCTTGTATTACTCTCCGATGTGCTGGGCGCAGGGGTGCTGCTGGTGGCGTTCGTACTCGTGATTCTCGTGGTGCTGCTCTCGATCGTACTGTTCGCCGACGTGCTGGGCGTCAGGGTGCCTCTGGTACTGGTCGTACCCGTCTTACTCGTGGTGCTGCGTTCAGTCGTAGTACTCTCCAACGTGCTTGGCGTAATGATGCTGCTGGTTCCGGTCGTACTCGTCATACTCGTGGTGCTGCTCTCGGTCGGACTGCCTGCCGACCTGATTGGCCTAGTGGTGCCGCTGGTACGGGTCTCACTCGTCACACTTGTGGTGCTGCTCTCGGTCGTGCTGCTCGCCAAAGCGCTGGGCGTAGTGGTGCCACTGATGCTGGTCTTACTCGTCATACTCGTGGTGCTGCTCTCGGTCGGACTGCTCGCCGACGTGCTGGGCGCAGTGGTGACGCTGGTACCAGTCGTACTCGTCATACTCGTGATGCTGCTCTCGGTTGTACTGCTCGCCGACGTGCTGGGCGTAGTGGTGCCCCTGGTACTGGTCGCACTCGTCGTACTCGCGTTGTTGCTCTCGCTCGTACTGCCCAGTGACGTGCCGGACGTAGTGGTTCCGCTGGTACTGGTCATTCTCGTCATACTGGTAGCGCTGCTCTCGATCGTACTGCTCGCCGACATGCTGGGCGTAGTGGTGCCGCTGGTACTGGTCGCACTTGTCATATTCGCGCTACTCTTTGTTATGGTCCCCTTCGCCGGCACCAGCATATGGCTGCTGCCCTCAGGTGTGCTAGCCCCTGCTGCGCAGCAAGCCCCACCTGCCGCTGCGAGCGTAGGGCTCCTGCTCGCCGTCGTGCTGCCCATGATGCCCGTCGTGCTCTTTGCTGTGCTCCTGAGCCCACTGGCGGATAGCCGCGTTGAGCTGCTGCTTTCGTTAGTGCTGCTCCCTGCTGTACCGCCCCTGGTCCCACGAGCACTAGTCATCGTGGAGCTGCTGCACCGTGTCGTGATGCTCCTGGTGCCCGTCGTGTTGCTCTCTCCTGTGCTACTGGCCCCCCTCGAGCCCAATGTAATTGTCGTCATCGTGCTCGTCTCCGTCGTGCAGCTCAGCACTCTGCTGCCTCTCGGACGTGCTGCTCTAATGCTAGATCCCGAATTGCTCCTCCAACCCGTGATGTTCATGGCATTCCCACTCCAGCTTCTCGACGCGAGGCTGTTCCCAGAGGTTCCCGTCGTACTGCTCACCAGCGTGGTCCCCGACTCCGTCGCGCCGCTCGTCGTGGCGGTAGTGGTTTCAGACGTGGTCCCCCACGCTGTCGTGATAGTTGGTCGTCGTAGTCGTGGGGTTGGTCGTCGTGCTTGCGGTCGTGGGATTGTTGGTCGCCGTGGTCGTGGGATTGTTGGTCGTCGTGGTCGCGGGATTGCTAGTCGTCGGGTTGTGGAAATGTTGGTCGTGGAGTTGTTGGTCGTCGTAATCGTGGTCGACTGTCGCAGGTGGGGGTCGGGGGCGAGGCGGGTGCGGAAGGGAGCTGGGGAGGGAGAGCCGGCCGCACCGACTTCTCCGGCGGGCATGTGAATTACAAGTGATGCGTTGGCGATCGCATGATAATCTAATTCAGAAAATCTAATTACGCAATTAATTGGCATTACTGGGGCCCTCTCAAAGGCCTGCTCCACCCTCAGGCTGACCTCGAAGGAGCCGCCGCCTAGATCATACCGCAGGATGTTCTGCTCAATTTTCTTGTCGAGGCCGTACGCGACCGCCGCAGCCGTGGGCTCGTTCATGATGCAGAGGATGTTCGTCCTGGCGATGACGCCCGCGTCCTTCGTGGACTGCCTCTGCGCATCGTTGAAATACGCTGGCATGGTGCTCACTGCGTGGTTGGCCTCCTTGCTAAGGTAATCGTCGGCGGTCTCCGTCATCTTCTTTAAGATCATGGCGGATACCTCCTCGGGCTGCCAGTCCTTGGCCTCCCCCTTCACCTCCACGTTGATGAAGGGCTTCCCGTTCCTGTCGACGATCGTGAACGGCAGCGACTTCCTGTCCTCACGCATCGTGGAATCCTTGAAGCCCCAGCCGGTCAGGCAGGCAACCAAGGCCCGCGGCCACCGCGCGGGCATGGTCGCCGTGCGCCACCGCCGGCCGGCGTTGCCGACCCGCCGCGGCGCGGGAGCCCGGCCCCGAGGGCGGCCGAGCGCAGCCCGCGATCCGATCGGCGCGATCGGAGCGCGGCCGATGACGATCGGCGGGGGGGGGATGGGGGAGGCCGCCTCCTCCCCCCTTGAGCCCCTCCCTTGAGCCACCTGCCTCCTTCTCTTCTCCTCTCCTCCCTCCCGGTCGTCATTCCGCTCTCCTGGCCGCGGCGGGGTTAAGGGGGCGAGGAGGGCGAATGTGGCGAGCGCGGCGCCAGGCCCCCTCTCAGCGGAGCAGAGTACAGTCAACCCGCAGAGTCAGGATGCGCGATAAGGATGCAAGGCCCTTGGACGCCCATTTCGAAGCGTTTCGAGAAGGGCGCGGCCAACGAAAGTGTCCAAGGATGGACCCAGGAACAAGGATGCAAGGGTACCCTTGGGAGGGATGCCTATCCTTCCTCTGCGGGTCGACTGTAGGAGGAGTAATGGGCGCGGATCGGCCAAGTGAGCGCTGCCGCGCGGTGGCCACGTGGGCCATCGCATGGTGGCCGTGAGGACGCGCAGGCGATCGCATCACGCCACGACCCATCGTCGATACTACGATGTACCGAGCTCCATCCTTCCTGATCTCTCTCCAGTATCTCGCCTCCCTCTTGCCCTCGCTCTCCACCCATTCCTCCATTCTGCATCCTGCCACATGCACCATCGCCGTCCTTCGTTCTTTCGCACGAAAGAAAGACGGGGGGCAGAGAGGGACAGGGGGCGGGCGGCAGTTGGTCTGGCCGGTTGGCTGGCAGAGCGATGGGTCTGGGGGCCTGGCTGCGTGGGGGGGGGGCTGGGGGGGGGCACGGAGGGAGGCAGGGCAAGCAGAGGAACCAGAAAAGAATGGAGCGAGAGAAGGCGAGGGGAGAGGGAGCGAGGGAGGTTGAAGGACGGGAGGGAAGGGGCACCCCAGGGAGGATGGATCCCCTGCCTTCTCCCTCCTCCTCCTCCTCCTCCTCGCCTTTCTTCCTCCTCCTCCTCCTCCCCCTCCCCCTCCTCCTTCCTCACCATTCTCCCAACTCCTGCCTCCTCCCTCCCCTATCTTCTCTCTCTCTCTCTCTCTCTCCTCGCCCGTATCTCTCCCCCAAAGGCGCCCCGCGAGCTCACGGCCGCGACGCCTCCGTGGTCGTCCGTGGTGGCGGCCAACTCCGGCGCGGCAGGCCGGTCGGGCACGGAGGCGCAGATCCAGCGCAGGGGCTCGGACCTGAGCCCGGGGCTCAGGGGCCCCCTTGTCAAAGCGAACAGGTGGAGGGAGGAGCTCCACCTCTTCCTCCTCCCCCTTCTCCTCCCCCTCCTATTCCTCCTCCTCCTCCTCCTCCTCCTCCTCCTCCTCCTCATCATCATCATCATCATCATCATCATCATCAGCATCATCATCATCATCATCATCATCGTCATCATCACCACCACCACCACCATCATCATCATCATCGTCATCATCATCATCATCATCATCATCATCATCACATCATCATCATCATCATCATCATCATCATCATCATCATCATCATCATCATCCTCATCATTCATCATCATCATCATCATCATCATCATCATCATCATCATCGTCATCATCACCATCATCATCATCATCACCACCACCATCATCCTCATCATCATCATCATCATCATCATCATCATCATCATCATCATCATCATCATCGTCATCGTCATCGTCATCGTCATCGTCATCGTCATCGTCATCGTCATCGTCATCATCTTCACCATCATCGCTCATAGTCATCATCATGAACATCATCATCAACAACATCATCGTCATCATCATCATCATCGTAATTGACATCATCATCATCACCATCATCATCATCATCATCACCACCACCATCATCCTCATCATCATCATCATCACCATCACCATCATCAACATCGTCATCGTCATCATCAGCATCATCCTCATCATCAGCATCAGCATCAGCATCAGCATCAGTATCAGCATCATCATCAGTATCAGTATCAGCATCAGCATCAGCATCAGCATCATCATCATCATCATCATCATCATCATCATCATCATCATCGCCATCGCCATCACCAGCATCATCATCAAAATCAGCATCATAACCAGCATCATAGTCATCATCATCATTATCATCATCCTCATCCTCATCCTCATCCTCATCCTCATCCTCATCCTCATCATCATCATCATCATCATCATCATCATCATCATCATCATCATCGTCATCGTCATCCCTCTTGCTTCTCCTCCTCCTCCTCCTGCGATTTCTCATCCTCCTCTTCCTCCACCCTCCAAACTCCACCCTCCTCTTCCTCCTCCTCCTCCCCCCCTCCTCCTCCTCCTCCTCCTCCTCCACCCTCCTCCTCCTCCTCCTCCTCCTTCACCTCCTCCTCCTCCTCCTTCACGCTTCAAGCTCCAAGCTCCACCTCATCCAGCCTCCGCCCTCCGTGCCCTTCCTCTTCCACCGCCCGCCTTCTCCTCCTCACCCCCCCTGGCGCTCCTCACCCTCCTCATCCGTCCTCCCGCGGCATGTCTGGCGACGACGACGACGACGACGACGACGACGACGACGACGACGACGACGACGACGGCGGCGGCGGCGGCGGCGGCGGCGGCGGCGGCGGCGGCGGCGGACCGACGACGACGCATCAACGACGGACCAACGACGACGACAGACCACCGACGACGCCGCGGCGTCGGGGAGGCCAACCGTCGGGCCTGCGGGCAGCGGCGGCAGGCCACCGCGCTCGGAGGCGCGGCCCCGCTCCGCGGAAGACGCCGGACAGGCGGGGAGCCGGGGGGCCCGGAGGGGGGGGGGAGGGCGGGCGGGCCGCCTCGTCGGTCCGCACGCCCGCCCAGCGGGCGCACACCGGCCCGGCATCTCTCGGGCTTCTCGGGCCACGGCGCGCGGGCGCAGGGCCCGGCACGGTCACCCCGGATGGTGAGGGTGCGCGGTGAGGATGCCAGGGGCCTCGGGGGGGCCACGTCGAAGCCTTTTCGAGCGGGGCGCGGCCAGCGAAGGTTGCCAAAAAGATGAGCCGAGGAGGTGAGGCTGCAAGGGTACCCTTGGGAAGATTGGCCGTCCTTACTATATGCGGGTGGACTGTAAGAGGGGACGGGTCGGCCCCCATCCCCGGGCTCCGTAGCGTTCTCGAGGGGACCAGAACTCTCGGGTCCGACCCTGGGAGATATGCGATGGGGGGGGGAGCGTGCCTCGCCGATGGGGGTGGGTCCGAATAGCCCCCCGCGGGTGTCACCCCAGGGTTTTCCCATCCTTTTCCCGAGTGGCCGCATGCATCGTCGAAACATCGGGGGCTGGGGGAGACAAATCGCCTGCGATCCACGGATCGGGAAGGTACCCCCCCCCCCCCGAAGCATGAAAACAGGAGGCCGACGCCGCCTCCTTTGGAAACAAGGCGCGCCGATGTCGCACGGAACCGAGACCTGGGAGCGAATCCACGCGCGCCTGAACCCATCACTGCGCTTCCTCGGGCCCTGCCTCCTCGTCTTGCGTCCTCCCTCCCCCGCCCTCCCTCCGAGCCTCCTCTCGTGGGGGGCGGGGACCAGCATGCCGCAGGCAGGAGGGCCCGTGGCTTTGCCAAGGAGCGCATGGGGGGGGAATGGGGGGGGGGAATGCACGTCACGCGATCGCCCAGGAGGAGATCTTGTCTCTCTTCCTCCACCCCCTCCCCGTCTGTAACGCCCTTCCCCCTTCCAGGGGTAAAAAGTGGGCCCGCATTGTTGTTATTCCTACTCTGCCCTTTCCCCCCCCTCAGGCGGAAATCCTTCCCCCCTCCTCCTCCTCCTCCTCCTCCTCCCCTCCTCCTCCTCCTCCTCCTACCTCCCTGCCCCCCCCCCCCCAGTCCTGAACTTCTGAAGAACTCTCTAAAAACACATATGGTGTACACCGTGTATTCTGTGGTCTGTGGTGGATCCCCCAAAAGACATAGGCGGGGCATTTCGGATTCGTGGCCGCTCTAGATTTATTCCCGCAGGGACGCCACCACACGCCCACGAGAGCCAACGAGAGCCCAAGAGGGCCCAAGAGGCCTCAGAGAGAGCCTCAACAAACCCAAGCCGATCTCACAGGGCCACGATCATCCGACAAGTGGCACCCACGAGGCTCCGAAAAGGCAGCAATTCGTGGAAAAACCTTGGGTTATCCTGCGCGTTCCTTGCGGGAGAAGATCCTTACGAGAGAAATGGCACTGCTGAAATTTAGCCAAGGTTTGGCGAAAAACTGCAACGCGGACTGGTCTGCAGCGCGCACTCTGTATGTGACGCAGTAGAAAGTGTGTCCTTGGTCACGCTGGATTTCGCTTTGGGCGCACACCATTTCTGAACATGTTCAATCCCCGCCCCGGCAACAGAGCCAAACCCACGTTCCGAAGCTTAAACTCAAGCATGGAGCGCGATGCTGAAGCAACACCCCTGCTGTGTATAGCGCCTGACGTGCAGCTGAATGTACTTGTGCGGTTCGGACGTAGGTGTTCCACCGTGCGGCGCGCACGCACGCACGCACCTACACCCACACCCACACCTACATGTACATGTACACGTACACGTACACGTACACCTACACCTACACATACACCTACGCCTGCACGTACACGTACACGTACACGTACACGTACACATACACCTACGCCTGCACGTACACGTACACGTACACGTACACGTACACGTACACGTACACGTACACGTACACGTATACTTACACCTACACCTACACCTACACCTACACCTACACCTACACCAACACCTACACCTACACACGCGCAAACGCACACGCACACATGTTTTTGGCGTCGGCGGCTAGGCACAGTAACTGCGCTGGCGGGAGAGCTAACTAAACGAGGGCACCGTTGTAGCGAATTGTGCCACAAAACAAGAAACATGGCTGACAAAAAAGGGGAGGGCGGCCGAAAGTGGGGGAGGAGGAACGAGGGCCGCTCAAAGGCGGCGG